TTTCATCCAGTTCGGCAATGGCTTCTACTTCGTCGACGACATCCACTTCTTGTTGTTCCGGAGTAAGCGTTGTTGTCGCATTGTTGTTGTTGACTACGATCTCTGCAACTGCTTCCTCGGCAACGGCACTGGCAGATGACGAGGGGCTAGGTTCCGGATCTTTCGGTGCCGGCACCGCTGCCGTATCATCTCCCCCACCGATTGCCACGAAAGCCGCACCTGCCAATCCGACAATGCCCGCGGCTCCCAGTACAAGTCCGCCATTGTCGCTGTCACCACTACTGTCTGCGACTGCACCACTTTTCTTGGCCGCATACGCAGCCGCGGCAGCTTCCTGTTTGGCCGCGGCAGCTGCCGCCATTTGTTCTCGTTTAGCCCGTTCGGCCGCTTCGGCCTGTTCCTTTCGTTCTCGTGCGGCCTGTTCTCGCGCCAATGTTTTTGTTTTTTCTTCTTGTCGGCGCATTTGTTCTTTGGCATCTCGCTCGAGTTTTTCCTGTTCCCGCTTGGCCTCGCTAATCTGTTCCTTTTCTCGTTGCGCCTTTCGTTGTTCGGCAAACGCATTGTCAATTTCGCGGCGTTGTTCTTCTTGCAATTCTTCCTTGACATTGGCCACTTGTCCCTGCCGTAATTTGGCCAATTGTACCTTTCCGTCTTCAATCATGGCCAAGTATTTTGGATCGTCCTTTCTCTGGGCGTACTGTTCCAATACGGTGTCACGATTGATTTCCAACCGCACTTCACCGGGTGCATAGTCCAAACAATGACATTCATTGAGTGGAATACCGGCAATCATGGCACTGAGCAATGCTGGTCCAGTGCCATCGGGAAATATAATGAGAATATTTTCTCCACTGGTTCTCGATTCTTGCAACGACAGAAATTGTCGCAATCGGACAAACTGATCTCCCAGTGCTTCATTGGCGGTCCCATCCTCGTTCGCGGGTGGTCGTCCTCCTTGTCCTTCCTTTCCCGCTTCCAAATAGTCCAATGCGACAATGGCTGGTTTGACGGTATCCATGGCCCCACTGTCCCAGAGTCCAATCCCCCGTTGATCCAAATACGTAAATTCGGGCAACAATCGATCGCGACTAATACGGAGTTCCGTGGCCATCATATCGGCCGTATCCATACCATTGGCGGCCAAACTATGGTAGGCGACCGTGGGGAAATTGGGAGATGCCTTGATGACTTCACACGCGTCCAATACAATGCGTCGTGCGGCGGGCGTATCCGCCAAGGCATTGTCGCGATTGGTAATAAAGAGCGAATTGGTACTGTACACACCATTGACTTCCAATTCACTGGGACCGGCCCGCATGAAATGATAGCGATTCTTGAGTGGTCGAATACACGGGAATTGCATTAGACCAGCATGGGCTGGTTGGACATTGACCGAGAGACCCGTCAGTAGTGCGGCCGATGTGGTGGCCAAGAATCCACGGCGACCGGTACTACTACTCAAAGAAGAGTCATCATGGCTGGGATGCTCATTCGTAGTGTCGTCATTGTCATTGGCAGAAGCCAAAAGAAGAGACCCACTTCTCCTGGAATAGAAACGGTTTCGTGCTCTCGTCGTCGCCGTCGTTCGTGGAGGACTCAGTGGATGATGATGAACCTGCAATGCCGATACTACTGGAATGATCGGATGATCAATAACAATAGTGGCAGCACTGAGAAACAACCCCAATAGGAATAGCCTTATTAAGGGACCACGAGGAGGACTTGTTCTTTGATAGGACATCATCATTGCTTCAGCTCTTGATGGCTGTCTTCTTTGGTGCTACCGGTACGGTACAGTACTCTGACTCAGAATGGTTGATTCACTTTTTATGGCACTCTGCTGGCAGCAAAAGAGGTGGCCAAGAATATCTTTTTTGATAGTCTTCTCGCATCACAACAGCATTGGATGGAACCCCACGAGCTCTGCAAGAGAAGCCATTCTTCGACTTTCAGAATGCTTGGAGTTCAGTGCATCATCATATCCGAGATATATCCCAATCCAATAGCAAAGATCGAACGCTTTCTGCAACAGAAGAAAGCAGATGAATGACATCACCCGAACCATCGATTTGTTTCTTCGACAGTTCTTCGAGCTTCTAAAGATCCAAACATCCGGGTTGCCTTTTAAAAAACGCAACTTCAACATGGTGGTAAGCCAGTGCATTCATTAGGACGTCCATGCACAAGAAAATTCAGGCTGGCCGTCAACCTGCTCTCCACTCGCTCCACGCTCCATCCATCCTTTTGTTCTTTCATTCGTTTTCACACTTCCTACTGGCTAGCTATTACCCAAACCCAAAGCATATCAATGCACGACGCACGATGAGACAACTAAAGCACCACGAGAAGAAGCTTTTGCGCAAGGTCGACCTCTATTCTTGGAAGAAGGAAGACAACCTCCGTGTAGCACAAGTGTTGCGGCGGTACCATGTGCAAGACAAGAACGATTATATTGCCTACAACCGAATCTGTGGTATGATTGGCAAGCTGTCGGCCAAACTCAAGACCCTCCAGGCCGACGATCCATTCCGTGTTGCCATGACGGAGCAATTGCTACAGAAAATGCACGATTTGGGTATTGTTGACACAAAGAAGTCACTCCAAAAAGCAGACGATGTCAATCCTTCTGCCATTTGTCGACGTCGGATTCCCGTGGTCATGGTGCGATTGAAAATGGCCGAGACACTGCGGGTGGCATGTACGCTCATTGAACAAGGACAAGTGCGAGTGGGGCCCAATGTCGTCACCGACCCGGCCTTTTTGGTGACCAGATCCATGGAGGATTATGTCACGTGGGTGGACTCTTCCAAAATTAGACGGACTGTGCAAAAATACAACAATAAACTCGATGATTTTGATCTTTTGTAAGTGAATAAGAAAAGAACACACGAATATCCTTGATTGCTTGGGCCAATTTTTGTTACGAGCCCATCGAACAACCCAACAACTCAGGGCAAAACAATCTACAATGGACCCAAATGTTTGTGATCTTGAGTGTGCAGCTCACTACGCCCTTTAACGAAGCAGCTTAACATTCGCTTCGTTTTCGGATTCAGCCAAGTTTGCAAGGAACGAGCGCTTTGTAATTAGTAGTTGTTTTATTGGCCCAATCACAATCAATATGCATTTGCGACATGTGACTCTATACCAGGTACCAGTACTGTACCGGTAGAAGCTAGATAATGCATCTTCTTCATTCATTCATCTTGGTACTGTGCACCCAAGAGTGATTGTATTTCAGTCTCTAGATGCTTCAACACTTGTCTGTCTTCAATCATGGGAGTGATGCTGTATTCTTGTCCCCGTGCAATTTTATAGAGTGTTCCTCGCAGAATCCTGCCACAAATCGTTTTCGGCAGGGCATCCACAATCACCACTTTGAGAATGGCATAGGGGCCAAATTCGTCTCGTACCATATTGACCAACTCATCGCGGATCAAATCATCCTTGATTTCACCATCTTCCTCCCAGATGGTATTCAACTTGGCAATCAAATCCTTCTCCAGCTCTTCGTGACGACCGGCATGACCAATTGTATAGCGAAGACTGTCAATCAACTGCTTGTGCAGTGCTTCATCGCATCCTTCGCTTCCAAACTTTTTGACCACAAACGCCACTGGAATTTCTCCATGCTGTTCCACATTGATATCAATCACCACACACTCATCCACGGCATGATTCTGTTCGATGAGCTTTCGGACCTTGTCACAAGTCAACCGACCAGCTTCCTCCGCGAGAGCATTGTCAAGATCCTTACGATGATCACGAACATCGAGCACAGTTCCTGTGGGAAGACGAAGGGAGTCAAAGTACCCTGGAAACTCCTTGTCCATGACACCACCCACCAAACGATCCATGGGCGCCGACGAGAAGGGTGCCAGAAGGAGGACGTGCGGTGTTCTCACAGTGGAGGCGGACAGCTTGGTTCGAAGGCGCCGCCCTCCCAAGGTCCTCACGGCTCTGGATGTCTTTGTTGCAATGTTCATTCTGTTGTTTAGTGATTAGTAGTTAGCTTTATGTGCTGTTTTTGTTGTTGTTGTTGCTGCTGTTGTCGTGGTTTCTATGAAATAGGTTCAGTGTTCCAAGAAATTGATGAGGAGGGAAAGATCGGGAACGTCCTTCGCATCCATCTTGACGATCGGGTTCGCTTCGCCCATGATTGAATCGAATCGAATCCAATCAATCAATCAATCTTGTTTGTTCAAAGAGCGGAGCCAGAACAACTCCCGCGGAGCGCACATCCCTCGCATGTGGCGGTGCCGCAACCAGAAGATGCTTCAGACTGTCCTTTTCAAATGGATGGAGTTGGCCCTCTTCTTCAGCATACCAACCGACAGCAAACTATGCTTAGCTGGTTTGAGGCAGCAGTGAACAAAACGGTGGGACAGCAGTGATGCGCACAGGTGGAACAATTAAAGCACTCAGCTCGCTCATACCGGTAGGTCACAGCAAAAATCGTACCGTAGCGTGCCACATGTATCATACGGCCGGTACGGTTCGGTACGTCTTCTTGCGTTAGAGCATACCGGTACCCAGGTACAACCGATACTTGGTAATTGTTGTGTGTGTGGTGTGGTGTGGTGTGGTGTGGTGTGGTGTGGTTGGTGTTGGTGTGGTGTGGTGTGGGTGTGGTGTGGTGTGGTGTGGTGTGGTGTGGTGTGGTGTGGTGTGGTGTGGTGTGGTGTGGTGTGGTGTGGTGTGGTGTGGTGTGGTGTGGTGTGGTGCAGACTCGACTCGACTCCACTGACACGGAGGATGCTTGGAAACGCTTCGAAACTACCGGTACGCTATCGGTGGCTGTATCTAAACCATCAAAGCCAATACGAGAACTCATAGCAGCTCTCATAGCTCATATTATTATGCAGTACTGGTAGTTGTTTCTAACCTCCAACAAGTAGAACCTCAGTTCTTTTACAACGTCTTGCTTCTGCCGTTGCAAGCAAACTCAGTTTTCATACTCTCAAATGATGTTCTTCATGCAGACCTGCATCTCTATTGCCATTGTGAAAGCTACCCATTTATGTCTTTGTGGCTCCCGCAAAGCCCAACTCTTTGGCCACCGAAACGGTCCTCAATTCTCACCCCCGATCCCAAAAAACCCAGTCCTGAATTTCAACTGTTCTTGCTTTTAAAAGCCTGGCCCGGTTGGCTTCGGTAGATAATCTACCTACTCTAAACCCCCCTACTAATAAAATAGTTCAAGAGTTAGAGCAGACTTCAATATATATAAAAGGAGCACCCAAAAGACTTATGAAGTACTAGTACATGTACATGTACATGTTTAAAAATGTACTGCACCCACTACTGTACGGTACCGGACGTCTTCGGAAACGGTCATTCGTGGCAATTTACTTAAGAGACAATACACCAAAGCCATAGGAGACGATCGGAATGATTTAAGAGACGAGGCCATTTGTCTCCTAAAAATAGTGGATGATTTAGAAGAAGAGATCAGTTATTTAAGAGACAATCGTTTCGAAATAGGAGACGATCCTGGAGAATTATGAGACGATGCTATACAGTTTACACATACACTTAGGAAACGATCCGTTGAGAATAGACGATCCGTTGAAAATAGGAGGCGATTTAAGAGGAGACGAAAGAATTAGGAGACGATCTGGATCTTCTCGTATTTTTAGGAGACAAATGTACACATTTAAGAGACGATCAATAGGATTTAGGAGACGAACGAAGCACGACTCCAAATTTCCACAGAGGTCCCCTCCTACTGGACCTCTGTGGAAACTCAAGTCGTGCTACTTTTCGTCTCCTAAATCCTTTTGATCGTCTCCTATTTAATGGATTTCGTCTCCTAAAAATAGGAGACGAAACGGATCGTCTCTTAAATCTTTTGTCTCCTCTTAAAACGTCTCCTATTTTCAACGGATCGTCTCCTATTCTCAACGGATCGTCTCTTAAGTCACCATGTAAACTGTATGGTATCGTCTCTTAAATCTTTCGGATCATCTCCTATTTCGAAACGATCGTCTCCTAATTGGAATGTCTCCTACTGAATCGTCTCCTAAATATAGGAGACGATTGCTTTCGTCTCTTAAATCATTTCGATCGTCTCCTATTCCTCGGTGTATCGTCTCCTAAGTATTTTGCCACGAATGACGTTTCCACAGAGGTCCTGTACGATGGCACATGGCACCGACCACCAGAATATTAAAAAAATAAGAGCCAAAAAAAGATAACCACGGACGAAATCCCCGATCCCCGACAAAAAATCGAGCCGAGTCAGAGTCGAGTCACTGAGGACAAATAACTAACTATGCAAACTAACTAACTGTAAAAGAGAGCGTGACTGAGCCTTGAGATCTCGAGCAACAAGACGAAAGAATAAGAGACACTCGACGCTAGCTAGGTTTTTCCATCCCCAATCATCAGCGGCGTCGAAGATTGCAGTACCATGAAACTTAAACCAGGTTGTTCAGGTCTCAGCACGTTGCTGCTGACGCTCAGTGTTGTGGCCTGTGCCAACAGTGTACGCTACCGGTACATGCCAGGAGTCAACGTGCACTCGTTCAAAGAAGGTGATTATGTCAAATTGAAGGTGAACTCTCTCCAATCCGTCAGCACCCAGATACCCCTGGACTATTACAGTTTCAGCTTTTGTCAACCAAGTGACGGAGCTGCGATGGACAGTGAGAATCTGGGAGAATTCTTGGCCGGAAGTCACATCCAAACCACACCCTACGTCATCCAAATGAAAAAGGACATGTACTGTGAGCAAGTGTGTATTGCCAATTTGGGAAGGGCAGAAGTGCCCAAAATGAAACCAAATAAGAACGTCAGGGCCATCCGTGCTAACTACCACCACAACTGGATTGTAGACAACTTACCTGCAGCCTCCAAGTTAGAAACCGATAGTTTGATCATGACCCGCTATTGGGGGGGTTTCCCTGTTGGGTTCATTGCAGATGACAACAAGAAGGCATACATACACAACCATGTAAACATTGAATTGTTTTACCACCCCGTCAAAGACCAAACATTTGATTCTGCGTACCGGGTTGTCAAATTCATGGTCGAACCATTTTCCATCAAACACAATTTCGAATACCTTGAGGAGGAAGATAGAGACCGTGGGACCTATTCGCCAAGCATCAACATTGCCAAGATCAAAAACCCAATTGCCTCTTGTAATCCCAACACACCATACACTCAAAGGCCTCACACAAACTACAACATGGTGGTGGAGCGAGGCAGAGAACCACAACCAGCTTCAGGAAGAGCCTTGTTCACATATGATGTCATTTGGACTGAAGACTACCACACGGAATGGTCCAATCGCTGGGATGTCTATCTCAGCTTGAATGGTGCTGTACCTGCAAAAGTCCATATTGTCTCTATTTTTAATTCTCTTGTAATTACTTGTGCCCTCATGGCTCTCTTTGCCTGTTGCGTCGTCAAAAAACTCAAGGACGACATTGCAAGATACAGTGATCAGCCGTCCCACGATGAAGAAGTCCAAAACACTACCAGTCTCCTCCCCAGCAGCTCTGGACAGGATGGTTGGATCCGGGTCTACAAGGACGTATTTCGGCCTCCGGCATCGCAACCGAGGTTGTTTGCTTTGGCATGTGGCACGGGCGCCCAGATCCTTGCCACACTCCTCCTCATTATTGTTCTGGGATGGCTGGGAGTTTTGAACCCAGCCAGGCGTGGCAGCTTATACACAGCGGCACCATTGTTCTTTTGTCTCATGGGAATCGTCAATGGCTACGTGACGGCACGGTTTTACAAGACATTCTTTGGCCAATCCTGTGTCGAAACAATCCGATTTGCTGCCATTTGGTTTCCTTCCATCAATCTGGCTGTCTTTTTGTTTCTGCAGCTCATCTTTTGGAGCCACTCCAGTACTGCTGCGGTCCCCTTTGCCACTCTCATGATCCTTTTTGTCCTGGTGCTCTGTATACAGACTCCTCTTGTATACTTGGGTGGTTACTGTGGATACCAGAAGGACCCCATGGCATGCATGGTATACAACTGCGACTGCCTCCCAAGTCCAGTCCCACCGCAGCCATGCTATGTGGCAGCCCCCACCACTCTGATTTTCTGTGGAATCTTGCCATTTGGAGCCTGCTTTGTGGAAACATACTACATCATGGCCAGCTTTTGGTTGCAGTACTACTATTACGAATTCTTCTTCCTCCTTGTGGTATTTTTTCTGCTCATCATTACCACAGCACAAACGACGGTTCTGGCAAGCTACTTGCAATTGAGAAATGGAAATCATGAGTGGTGGTGGAGAGCCTTTGGCAATGCGGGCAGTGCGGTTGGTTGGTTATTTGCCTATTCTTGCGTGTACAGTCTGCAGCTGGACATTCACCACCTGAGTACCCACATTATCTACTTTTTGACAATGGCAATGGTGTGCTTCGGGTTGTTTTGCATGCTTGGGTTTGTCGGTGTGATGGCTTCCCTTGTGTTTCACAAAATGGTCTTCTCATCTGTGAGGATCAAGTTAGGCTATGAATTGCTATCAGAGGAGGATGGAGTCGATGAATTGCAGATGCATGATGTGACTGATGGCGAACTGGCACCCGAGGCAGCCAACACAAGCGAGGAAGGAAAGCCAACGGAGGAATAGCAAAGTTAAGGCAAAAAGCACAACTGTTCTCATAAATCGACCCTATACTAAGCACTGCCTCCTTGCCAGTACGCACGTCTCATGTTCCGGTGTTGCAGGTGCATGGCATCATACGCATGCAGCCTGCATCCTCCAAGCACCATCAGCATCAGTCTCAAGAAAACACGTGGATGATAAGTGGAACGAATGTGCATAAAGCGACGGAATCAACAGCTGCATCGCTTTGCCCTGCACTTTGGTCTCCTGAGTGTGTCTTCCAGAGTTCGCTCACCTAATAAATGCGTTGGCTGTGATGGTGCGTCAAACACGAGAAGATCGCGCCCTGCAACATTCAAGCTTGCCGACATCTCTTCTTTGGCTTCAGCTTTTAGGAGGCCCTCCAGACTTGGCAGTGCTCTCTAGAGGAAGATGCACCGGTTCCCTATCTGGCTATACAATAGTTGGCCTCTGAAGTTCGAACTGCTGTTCGGTGCAGACTGAGCCTCCACTCGCGCGAATAGCGGTATTAAAATAGCACGAGAGTGCCCCATGGACACACTGAAGTTTGAAGCAACCATTCCCGAAATCCGTCTGGACCACACTGGCTATTTCGTACTCTACTCTTCATATCGCATTGCGTCCAAGTCCGAGACCAGCCAGATCGACAGTCGAGTCCGTACCACATGTAAGGCCGTAATAACGGCACGAAGCGACAAATGCCTGCGTCTTCTTCTTTTGTTAGAGCATACTGGTAGAGCAGACTCGACTCCACTCAACACCGATGCTCGGAAACACTTTACGCATGGCGACAACGTGTCGTGTGGGAATCGTCGTCTCTCTGCTCTCCCCGTCTCTTTTGCCAAACAAAGCTTTAACGATTCGTTCCAAGACAGCCCAAATCTAAACCCGCACGAACCCAAAAGACGAGGCGACCCAACTATGGCGGCGCGTCTCTGGAGATGTCATAAAGCGGTTCCAGTGTCTCGAAGTGCCGCATTCATCTGGTTCTCGCCTTCTTTCCGCATACTTTGGATCCTGCTTCCTTCTCCGTTACCGCCTGACAAGTGATGAGTGCTGATGACCAAAGCGAAGGCGAAGGCGCTTTCCCGGCAATAGTCGTCGTGCCTACGGCCCCCCCGGAGTGGGTAAAACCCACACCTTCGTGCAATTCGACCGTTTCTTTGACATTGCCCCCGCTAGGGCAGAGAGACTCTTTGAGAGCGACGGTCTGTCCTCTTTCGTTGGTCGTGTATGGCGCCATCTTACGGCTTTCATGGGTGAACTTTTTGGGTGGCCGTATGAGAGGTACACCGTGACGACTCAATCGTCGGAGTTTTGGTCAGCATGGGCGTTCCTCTTGCCTTGGCTCAACACAATGCTGCCAGAATCGCTGTAGATGGTTTGCCGGATGATCTTATTGACGAACTAGCGACAAGGCTCTCAAGGAACCCGGGAATTCTAAGTGAGAATTGAAGGGTCACAGACGAGTGATCACTTGCAGAAGGCAGCTCGGTTGCTTTGCACTATTTGTGGCCACAGGCAATGACTGCAAGAAAACTGACCAGCACAAAACACTGCTGCTCGCTCCCTGGACAGCAATATGCACTCAATATTGCGAGATATATTACTTCATTATGGACACCTCCATCTTCTAATATACCACAAAGCTGCTGCAAATCATCCCACACTACTGAATGGCAGTGGCCACATCATCCCAACTCTTTCAACAGATATTGCCACTTACTTGTTGTAATAGTTCCAGTGCAGCATTGTGAATCTCTTCTTGGAAGGAAAAGCAATTCTAATCCTCTCCACAGGGACTGGCACACCACACATCACCACCTTTCAGAACAACCTTAGCCGGCAAGACAAGACCAGCCCAGACAGATCGACTAGAATGTCCCTCCTGGTTCTGGCTTGGTTGCTACGGAAAAGCAACGCATGACACTACTAGTACATGGATGTGGACTGATGGTAGCAACTTTTGCTATTACCCTGAATTTGCTGAATTGAATTAATTGAATTGTGCTGACAAATGCCAGGACAATATCTCTGCTTGCTACACTTGCTAGCTAGTTTCAACAATGTACTCCGAGTAATGAGTGATAAGAGTTATTATGATGGTGATTGTGTTGGGTGGGCGTGATGCTGATGATGTTGGGTAGGTGGCATGATGGTGTTGGGCGGGTGGCATGATGGATGGCTGCGGATGTGTATTCCGGGTAATGGGTGATGAATGGCATGATGGTGGCGATGATGGAGTTGGTTGGGTGGATGGCGTGATGCTGATGGCTTGATGATGCTGATATGTTGGGTGGGTGGCACGATGAATGGCGTGATGGATGGGTGGCGTGATGCGGATGGTGATGGTTGAGTGGCATGATGATGATGGCATGATGCATATGACGATGGATGCGGAAGAGTGTGTACTGTATCAGTATTAGAGACCACCAAAATACGAATAATCGAATCCTTCCATGTCTGGTTCATCACAAGGTGGCGGAAGACGTCGTAGTTTATCGACCGGAGTGGGATCAAAAGGATCCTCTTCTTCTTCTTCCATGATAGTATTACATGCATGATAAGCAGTGGTCGATTGTCGCGGATATATCGTCTTGAATGAGACTTTGCGTTTTTCCCCGGATACACGCGGCGGTGGTGGTATGGCGAACAAGGGGTCTTTTGTGCTGTTGCTCTTATTATTGTTTTGTTGTTGTTGTTGCTGCTGCTGATAGCGCTCATATATGACTTCGGCCTGTCTCCAATAAAAGTCACCAATTTCTGGGAGGAGAGACCATGGCAATAAAAAACACACAAGCGTGAGAATGATGGTCATATCATGGAAGCATCTATTTGTATCTCTAATTTTCATAGTCAGTAAAGTACAGTACCTGTCTTGACTTTTGCTCGCACACTGGCAGTGACGGATTCGTATCCTTCCTCTTTGCGCTGATTCCGTTGCATGCAATCATTGACGATATCTTTGGCGACCTTGCACAAGCCCTTATTCTGTGCCTCCAAGTATCGCAGGAGTATGTGAGCAAACACGGGATAGTACTCTCCATTGTGCTCATGCAGTGTATCTTCTCCCAGTGGTACAGCAGCAGGAGTAGTAGGAGTAGGAGCAATAGGAACAGGAGTAGTAGGAGCAATAGGAACAGGAGCAATAGGAGCAATAGGAACAGGAGTAGTAGGAACAAGAGTAGGAGCAGGAGGAGTAATGGTACCGGTAGCTCTGGTAGTGGCATACGGTTTCAGGGAAGCAGGGGGAGGAGGTTTCTTCAAACTTGCTGCTGTTGTCTTTTGGTTCTTGTTTTCACTGGTCTGCTGCACATGTTGTTTTAGGTGTCGTTTGGCTCGATTCCAGTAGGATTCTCCAATTATTGCCTTGAGCTGTGCCATCTCGCTGCTGGAAACGGACTGTTGCTCGAGCCAAGCGTGATAATCGTCCGTCACAATGGCTTTGGCTTTTTGAAAGACGGCTGGATCCTTTTGTTGGAGATAGGCAAGGAGGACACGCGCCACAACCAGTTCCTGCTCTGCCGCTCGGCCTGTGGTTGCCGCATCGTGTGCGATTGCCTCATTTTGGGGTTCGTTGGGGTCCACTACTACCACATTTGGGCTTGTGATAGACTCATTCGCCGCTTTGGCTTCAGACTGCTGCTTTCTCATGTCCTCAATGCAGCCGATTGCACTGTTGTAGACGTCTACCTCGTTGGTGTCCATGGCGAACCCTTGTTCTGGTATTTCCCTAACTAATCGCTAGCTAGTTAGTAGTATGATAGCTTTCTACTTGCTCTCCAGAGATGTTGTTTGTGCTATTATGCAATACTCGGTGACATGCAGTTGTCTTGTTGTCTTCTTTGGACGACAGATGAGAAGACAGACCACAGAATCACGGAATGATGGGTTGTAGCAAAGATTCGAGGCGTGGGATTGAGTTCGGAACAGGGTCATTGGGTAACCCATTTTCTTAAAACAACGTAATAAAACTGTGAAGCATGGATAAATTATCCACGTTGTTCCGAATCCGTTGATAAATTGCACTTTTAGTCACGCTTTTGTCTAAAACGTGATGTTTTCCGCTCCAAATTTCAAAAACGCCACTCTTGACTGCACGTTACCCAACGACCCAAGCAGGATGTGGGTTAACGGTTCCCTTCCGGTTCAGCCGTCCATCATCCATCCGACAGGACGTGTCAAGCGAATGCATGACATCAGGACCCGGAAGACAACTTTGGAAAATAGGTAGTTGCGGTAAATTATAGTTTTCATACAAAAATGTGAAGTAAACCAAACCCTTAACCCTACATTTACCTAGTCTATCCGTCTAAAACTGTCTTTCCGATGTTCTGTGGAGCGGGGGGAACCGACTGTTCTGCTCAAATGGCAAAAGTTGCCAAGCACGGCAACAACCAACAGATGTTTCAATTACTGTAAACATTTGATTGGCTCGACTGGCCACACAAACGCATCCCTTCTTGAAAACAGTCCCAAAAACAGCAATTGCATTCTTTGGATGAGTTGCCTGCTGTCTGTTCTTCGCGACCAAAGGAAGAAGAGTTTGCTTTTGGTCCCTTTTGTTCATACTATCTGTGTTTGCGTCCAGCCGGTGAATCGCGTCAAACTGTTCCATACGTAGTGAGCTAGCTCTAGCAGCTGCTCTAGCTAGCAGCTTCAAAGCCCTGGCCTGCAACCGCAGCAGGCTCGGCCTCGTTGTCGTACGTACGGTACAGGTACTAGCTAGCTAGTACATCGCTTCGAAGCTCTAAAGAAGTTCCACTGCAGCCAGCCCTCAAAACGCGTTGTAACCAGCGGTCCATCACGAGCAGATGTTAGAAGCTTGGTACTTGGATCGCCACCGCACGAGAGGCTCTGTCTATTGGTAGCTTAGCTACATGTGGTTGACAGAAGATGTACGTTGAATGCAATCTTGCGTTACTAATTTTTAAAATTATCACCATGCAAAACGTCACAGCAGCGGCACAGATTGGTGTGGGCTGGAAATACCAACTGATGCCCATTACGAGCAAGGCCCCAACCGGGACCGGGACCAGTACCATGGATGCATCGTGTGCGTTGGCGGAAACATGAAGGTGGAATGAACAGGTTGGATCGAGCCCGGTAATGACTTGCTGATGATCAGGGCCAAGTGTGTTCCAAACTCTGTGATGGTATGAAGCATGTAGATGTTTTTTATGCGACAAGCGCACGCTTGGCTTTTTCTTTCTTTTTCTCTTTTTTCTTTTGTTTGTTTGTGTGTGCGACAAGGACGCGCATGTCCTTCTTGTTGTAGGATCAATTGCCATGCCAGGGGACACAGTCCCTTAGAACAAGTCTTCGATGAAAGCAGTGGGATCGAAGCACATACTTTGAATTGGGTCAAGTCCGAACAAGTCAATGGGCTTGCCGTCATATTTGTAAAGGGTATCCTTCTCTGGGATGCAGCAACTTGGTCCTTGAATTCCAACCTTAACTGAAGGTTCCAAGATGTATTGCCAATATCCAGCAGCATTGGACGCTTGCGCATTGCATTCTGGCTGACCATTCTCCTTATAATCAAGAACATCAGTGTACATTGTGGTCAATTTCTTCTTCTCTGTTTCTACTCCAAGGTTGAATTGTGCCAATGCATCAAATCCAGCTCCCGAGGCTTGACTGGCATCAATGACAACTGTGATGCAGGCATTGTTGCCTGGACCTAGGCATAGGGCCATACTTGCTGATGCCGCAAACTTTAGTGACATTCCGGCAGACACTGCACCTGTGGCGTTCACCGTGAACTCCTGCGAAATATCTGTTTCAGTTTCTATCTCAAGGTTAACCAGATCGATAGTCACTGTGGCTCCCACATTGTACCCGTACTTCACTTTGGATTCAGCTTCCGTTGACATGGCATATGGCATGGAGGCTTCCATGGACCCACTGAGGACCATTCTTGCCATGCCAGCAGTTCCAGGAACAGGGATGACCTGTGTCTGGTGCATGGACTCATCAAACACACTTCCAGCATATCCCATTCTGTCCTTAGTCTTCAGAGTGAATGTTTGACCAAAGCTTTGTTCAAACTTGATTTTCAATGAATCAAACCCAATATACTGCATGGCATTTTCAGCAAGCTTGCGCTCCTTGAAAGCCTGCTCAATCTTTTCTCCGTACAATTCTTGCGCACGGTCCAACCCCTTTTGATAGGCCATAGCAGAAACTTCTTCCATAGTGACAGCTTGATGTTCTCCATTGTCAGTTATCACTGCTAGTTGCCTTCTCGTACCAAGGTTGGAGACTTCGTTGACAATTTTGCCGGCAAGATTCTCAATTTCGTCAACGTTGATCTTGATCTGACCAGAGGGCACAAGAATTTTGCCCATCTCGGTTGTCAACCACTCTTCCACTTCAGTGAAAATCTTATCTGGGGCAACGATTTCACCAATGTCAGTCAAGAAACTGCCAAGTTTGTCAAAATCAAAGGCCACATCAGCAATCTCCATGCATGTGGTTGGGTAAACAGAAGTTGTCAAGGAAGCTCGGTCTGACTCGTACAGCTTGATTCCTGTAAGTTCCAACCCTGCCGCACCGGCAACGCAATCATAAGGGACACAGAGGTTGTCTTTCGCGAACTTCAACAAGGTCGATCCCAGTTCAGCGGCAAGATCCTCTGCATTATTGGGTAGAAAGTTCAATTGTCGGAGGGCATCTGCAGTGCTCTGAGCAACGGAATTGGCCACTGAATCAATGTCTCCAAGGCTCTGTTTGGCTGCCATGACACTATCCTCAATGGGCTTCACAATCTCATCGTATAGTTTATCTGGCAAATCGTCCACCTTTTTCACGAGGTTTGTAAATTGAGTCGTTTTACTGGTGAGCTGGCTTCGAACACTTGAAAGCGACTTAGTAGCACTGTTGAGTTGATTCGTTTTACTGGTGAGCTGGCTTCGAACACTTGAAAGCGACTTAGTAGCACTGTTGAGTTGATTCGTTTTACTGGTGAGCTGGCTTCGGACACTTGAGAGTTGACTGTTCAAATTGCGGACCTGGCTTGCGGCAGCATCGTATTGCCTCTTCTTCTCCTCGTACCAGTGTTTCATGTTATTATAGTAACCCTGCCATTTGGTGACCTCATTCGTCTTGTCTCTGACTTTGCTTTCCAGGTCATTGACCGTATTTTTCAGGCCACTGATCTCCCTCTTAAATTTAGTAAACGGATTACTGCCCAACCTCCTGTGGGCAGCCTCAGGCAACCCTGTCTCCGACAAGTCATCATCGTTGTGCAACGAGTCGTCGTTGTCGTCCATCATGGCAAAGTCATCATCGGGTGGCATGCCCGACAAGCTCATGGCGGAGAATGGCGGTCCAAGAATTGCACCGCCATGGCCGCCGAGAGTGGAGAGAACCCAACCCCCCAAGCAACCGAGGACAAAGGCCAAAATGACCGGCCTGGTGACATTGCTGTTGCGTTCCGTCGTCATCTTCGTTGGTTGTAATAAGGTAGATTCAATCAAGTGCCAAGTCGAGTGAGTAGATCAGAATATGATAGTAGTTAGTTTGTTGTTCTTAGCTTCGATGTTTTGCTTTTTGTAAGTTTGTGGTTGCTTCTCTTGATCTCTTCTTCTTAGCGGAGGAAGATGCACCACTTTTCTCCAAGGTTCCAAGTCCAAAGAAGATAGCAGCATTTCCACCGGATGGCACTTTTCGAGCGTTGCTTGAGAGGTGCATTTCCACGGATGGCACTTTTCGAGCGTTGTTGAGAGGTGCATTTCCACTGGATGGCACTTTTCGAGCGTTGCTTGAGAGGTGAGTCACCACTAAAGCGGGAAGACGCACCAAACACTTCCACAGTTCAAAAAAACAAAATTGTTAAGGGTACACTTCCACCGGTTGGCACTACTCGAGTACTACTTTACTTATCGAGCCGCTTTCTTTCCGTTAGCGGTTTGAGCGGTGAAACTTTGAAAAAGGGCTTCTGTTAAATCTTCTCAGTCCTTTGAGTCTAGGCATCGTTTCCATCACTTATGTCAGTTATGACCTTCCCAGGGTTGGTGACGCCCTTTGTGCCTTTCATGGATGACTTACCCCACAGTTTGGGGGAGTGACTCAGTCAGTGCAAGCTTCCTTGCATACCTGGTACTAATAGTTAGTTCGTTCAACGAAAAGGGGGAATATGAAATATGGGGTGCGCCAGCTACTACGAACAGACATGTACATTGTACCTCGAACCTCGATCGAACCGAGCAGTCATTGGTCATTGGGGTCGTTTTGTTAATTAAGCTTGCTCCATATTCGGCAACACCACGACGAGGCGACGAGGCATGCAATAATGATGGTAAACATTCATCTGTTGGTGTGGTTGCGGTGAGTTTACATACATTTTGGTCTGGATAGTCCAATTAGATGAGAAATTGAGAAATCAGTTTTACCGCATCTATCTGGCATCCAAAGCTGGCTGACCGGACAAAGGTACCACCCGGTAACCAGGATGCAGGAAGGATGGGCCAGAGCTACCAGCTGTCCGCGGCTATGGCTGTTCATCTTGATCCTTTGGGGTCAGTGGGTCCCCACGCCACAAAACCTCTTGTCTTTTGGGTCTTTTTCTTGCCATGGCTGCTGCTCGACCACACAATTATTGATTAAAAGAAGCAGCCAAAAGAACCGGTGGGGACTGCTTCTTCAATCCATTGCAACCACTAGCAATGTATCGCTGTTTCGGGACCTTAGGCCGGTCTTTACAGTCTTTAATGGTTGATGAAAGAGATGCCAGCAATATGGAGAGTCTACACTCTTTGGAAGTTCGCCCTGAACCAAACCAGTCCAGTGCTTGACGAAATGCAAACGATTGGCTTGTGACGGCATCATCGCGATTCAATGGGCTACAAGTGACTGTCTTTCGATTCGATTCGATTCGATTCGCTTTGACTAAACTCACTTGTCAAGTGACTCGACTCAACTCAGTCGAGTCACTTGACAAGTGAGTCAGTCGACTTTTAGAAGGCCGCACATTAGTTCAAAACAGGACTCAGCAGCAGCAACAACGCAACAACACCCTCGCTTACATCACAATCACCACCACAGCCGACACCATGTTCAGGACGTCTCTTCTTCGTGCCGGTGGAGTGGTTGCCAGGGCCAACGGTGCCCCCTGCAAGCTCAATGGCTCCCTGAGGACCATGGCAGGTGGAGCGCAGTCGAGGACTTCTGCGGTAAGTCAGTCGTGAAATTACTGTCCAAGAGATCTTTTGGTTCGACATGCATGTAGCTCATCGATCGGATGATATCCTGTGTTTCTTCTTTCGTCAAATTACTTCAGTTGGGCACTCTTGACGAAGTGACTCCCATGACAGGAGGAGGATCTGCTGTCCCCGTTCAGGACAATGTGGAGTACGCGATTTCTCGTGTAGACGATTTGGTGAATTGGGCTCGCAAGGGGTCCGTGTGGCCCATGACGTTTGGTTTGGCGTGTTGTGCCGTGGAGATGATGCACGCCGCGGCGTCTCGTTACGATATGGATCGATTTGGAATGGTCTTTCGAGCATCTCCTCGTCAATCCGACGTTATGATTGTCGCGGGAACTCTCACCAACAAGATGGCGCCCGCCTTGAGAAAGGTCTACGATCAAATGCCCGAGCCTCGTTGGGTGCTGTCCATGGGATCTTGTGCCAATGGAGGCGGATACTATCATTACTCCTACTCGGTCGTTCGAGGCTGTGATCGCATCGTTCCGGTCGATATTTACGTGCCTGGATGTCCTCCTACGGCAGAAGCACTCTTGTATGGATTGATTCAGCTGCAAAAGAAAATCAAGGGAAACAAGGCATTGTTGCTTCGTTTGAGAAAGTAACTACCATACTCTTCCCTTGATTGATTTTCTGTAGATCTAAATCCGAAAAAATGTTATTTTTCGTCCGTAAAACTCAATTCCGGAATACTACTTACTTGTAATAGCTCTGCCTCATTGCAATAGGACGACGCCCTGTGATGCAACCTACTCGTATCCCGGCAGCTAGCTAGCAAAATACATACTTACTAAGCGTCTTTTATCCGATGCAGACGCTTCGCTTCAGCAATGTAGCTCCTAATCCATTGTAGAGGCGTCTGTTTTTGGAATGCTGGCTTGCCGTCCTGTGTCAGACAAGAGGGGTTTTATTTTTGGGTGACTCGACTCGACTCGGTGTGGAAAGATACCGGTACATCCATTTCGTGTACTTCTGAAGTTAATTCGAATGGTGCAGGGGTATGCACGGTAGGTAAAACCCTGCCTCAAACAGCTGCACATTGCCATCTACCAGCCAGTACTTGCTTTGACTACGCTATGGCGGATCATCAAACTCTACCGGTACATGTAATGTTTGCTGGGCCCTCGGCAGTATCAATGTCTCACGTGACAGAGCGCAACACTATCATTGCCGTTTGGTTTTTTTAAAATAGCTACGGTATAGGATCTATTATGAGTGCATGTCTTTATTTATACCGGTCTTCTTCTTTGGCATACTGCGTGAATCCCACCACATCCTTGGTGTGTGCAAACGTCGCAATGATATCATCTGTGGGTGTTCCCTGTTGGATCCGATCCAGTGATTCTTGCATGGCCTGCACGGATGCCGACAGTAATGTCAATGGATACGCCGCCATGGTATATCCCATTTCCTTGAGTTGTGCCGGTGGCAAGATGGGTGTGGAACCCTGTTCCAACATGTTGGCCAATTTGGGACCGGGTACCAATCGACAGTACTCTTGCATTTCCTGCACGGAAGTGGGAGCTTCCAAAAAGGTCATGTCGGCACCGGCATCCAAAAAAGCCAAACATCGATCAATGGCTTCTTGGAAACTGTCCGTGCTGGCGGCATCGGTCCGTGCCAATATCAAGGGACCTGCTGTTGCTCCATATTGAGCGCTGTATTCATCGCGGGCATTACAGGCCGCTCGGACCCGTTGCATGGCTTCTGGTCGCGACACGGTGGATTTTCCTGCCACATGACCACATCGTTTGGGTGCCACTTGATCTTCAATCATCATTCCCGCCATACCGGCCCGGGCATAGCCCCACAGCGTCCGTTTGACATTGACGGCATTGCCATAGCCCGTGTCGCCATCGGCAATACACGGAATGGGTTCGCTAGAAAGTTCGAGGGCCGCACTGGCCAATCCTTCGGCGACACGAAGAGCGGATTGTTGCATTTCTCCATACGAGACCAACTGGGTGTCGGGATACCCATTGACGGCCGAAACACCAAATCCCGCCATGAAAGTAGCTTCAAAACCAGCACGGGCCACCATGCGAGCGTCAAACCATCTAACAGCAGGGCAGCAAAATTGGGTTCTTACGCTGCGAGTACCATCCATCTCCGCTTGCAGTAATTCTTGGAGGCGTTGGGGAGGAGGACAACCAGCAGCATGAGAAGAAGCGAGACTTTGCACGAGGGATGCTTGTAACAGTAGGGAACATGATAGAAGAAGTACGGAGAACAGGAAACCTGATACTAGTAGTGGTATCACAACTACTACCGGTAGTAGAATCATGATGGATACCAGGACTTAATAGAGAATGAGAAAGAAACTAGCTATTTAATAGTGCTTTACCAGTCGCCCTGCCTTGAGGTTGTCATCATAGTCAATGTTGTGATGGAGAGAAATCCGATGAGATCTTTGGGAACGGTGGATCTTTTGCTTTGGTTCAGTCACTGATGGCTCGTGAATCCATCGATCCGCGTGACAACAACGAGCAAAGACAAGTCTGGAATGATAACGCCAGCAAGGTAGACTTCTTTGCCATCTTTGGCCCAAGAGTCAAAAAGATAAACATCTCTTGGCCACGATGACCCCCTGGAATGCACCGGTGTACATCACTCGCATCTGGTGTATTTATGAAATCTCTACAGCTCACACCACAGATGGGTGCAAGGTGGTATATTGTCATCCACCCAAGGAGAAGGAATCCTAGAGTGGAAGTCATTCAGACAATGAGAGGATTAATGCTCCTATGAGACACTTGGCAACACAAAAGTTGAGAAATGCAAAGCGTCGTGCGCTAGTCGGCCAAGTAAATCTGATGTTGGTACTCGTGCTCAACAATCGAGTCAATGATTGTTGCGTGGATGGATACATGGTGTCCTCACTCAGCTTCGTTGGAACCAGAGAAACACCAACAACAAGACTATGTGGATTTTGGCTTGCAACCAATTGGGGTTTATCTCTATGGGACGCAATGGGGAAGCATGATGCAGCCATGAAACTCCACCGGACTGCTCTGGAATTTGTGAGACTGTGTTGGGTGAGAATCAAAGAGAAACAGCAGACAGTTACCGCAATGTTGGCTTGTGCTTCAGGGCAAGGGTGACTATGAATGAGCTTTGTCCAAGTACAAGGAAGCCCTTGCCATTGAATTGTCATTATTGGGCAAGAATCATCCTGATGTGGCGACCACCTTCCACAACATTGGTTCTGTTCTGAATAAAATGGGTGACTATGAAGGTGCTTGGTCAAAGTATGAGGAAGCTCTTGCGATTGAAGAATCAGCATTGGGCAAGAATCATCCCTAAGTGGCAACCACCTACAACAATATAGGTGCTGTTCTGGATGGACGATGGGTGGACAATGAAGTGCTTTGGCAAGTCATGAGGAGGAAGCGCTTGCCATTAGACTGTCAGCATTGGGCAGATCATCCTGATGTTGCAAAACCCCACCCTACAACAATTCCGGGTTGTTCTCATTAAGATGGGTGACCAATTGAAGGTGCTTTGGCAAAGTATGATGATGCTCTTGCCATTCAAGAGGCTGTATTGGGCAAAGAATCACCCCTCAGTGGCAACCACATACAACAAGATTGGTTCTACTCTCATGCGATGGGGGATGATGAAGTTGCTCTGGCAAACCATATAGAGGCTCTTGGCATTAGATTGTCTGTGGTGGGAATGAATCATCCTGATACAGCATAGTCCTATCACAACATTGGCTGTGTTTTATATAGCATGGGTGACTATTCTGGAGCCTTGCTGAAACTTCAGGAGTGCCTTGTCATTGGGGAGCCAGTGTGGGGAATTGACGATCCCAACACCAAGGGCTGCCTTCAACACATTGAAGTTGTCAACGTGAAAATGCAGCAAACTTGATTCTGTGGTTTGTTTGCCAACTGCTTCTACTTTTTAAATAATAGACCCGTAATAATTGTTTGGCTCTCTTTCGTGTTTAGTATAGCCACAATCAGGAATCATCCTGAGGTGGCAAGAATTCTGTGGAAGATACGGTAGGTAACTTTGATGGTGCTTTGGCAAGTTTGAAGAGTGCCTTGCCATTTTGGAATCCATGCTATGATTGGATCATACTCATACTTGCAGGATTGACTTTGTGTCAAGATGTAGCTAAGCCATTAGTGAAAGCATGACCTTTTCTCTCTTGGTTTTTGCTGACCGGGAATCACATAGCCAGACCAACGAGTGGCACTATCCAAGCACTGTAGCAGAATGAACTAAATGATGACTTGATTATTGTGTGAGCGAGCCAGGGCAACCTGGGCACAGTAGGCCACCTGTGATGCAAAAGGCAGGGACATCCCAAATGGAGCAGTGGAAGCTTATCATGAGATCACTGAGATCACTTACTTGGTGGGTAGCAAGGTGGAGTTGAAAGACAGATCCAAGTCCTTCGGCTCAACCACCAAGTACCGGTAGGCTAGGTGCTTTGGTGACGGTGCAAAATATTACAGCTCAACGGTGTTAATTAAGGAGGTGAGTCAGGTCTTTTTTAACGTCACTGACGTGTTTTACCGTTATTCTGCCGGATGTGTATACTACCACCACACTGTTACCAACGTGTTGCATCACATTGCTGTTTGACGTTGACAAAAGACAGCAAATGGGAATGCTCGCTTACTCTTCAATACGGCGTGACGCGAGAATCTCCAGCTTGCATGTGGCGACCCAATGGCAAACAGGGCAGCACAATCCACGATTGAGAAGGAAACCAGCGCCTTTATCCTTGAAGAAAAAGCCAACACCAGCCAAATACCACATTATTTTCTCGTTTGATCCGAATAGTACTAAACCATGAGAATCGTTTCTCTCGTTGCACTGCTGCAGCTCTCTGCAGTAGCTGTGAATGGCTTTACATCCTCTCCCGCCGCTTCTTCTGCCTTGTTCGGAAGCAGAAGAAAAGCGGCATCTCCCTTGACTTCCTCCAGATCTCTCTCTG